AGAGAGAAGGAGAGAGGCAGAGAGCGAGAGAGAGCGGCCGCCAAGTGCGAGACGTACACAAAGGCGAAGTCCATAGGACAATTAAAAAGGGGGAAAAAAAAGGTAAAAAAAAAAAAAGATCCAGAAGAATGCTTGGGATCGGGATGGGAGAGAACGGATACGGGATTGATCGGAGGAAGGCGAGGGGTACGGGATAGGGGTGCAATTGGCGTCGGGCTGAACATGCAGCTTTTCCGTTCGTTTTTTTCTTACGAAAAAAAGACAGATCGGATGACCCGGGATCATCCCAATAAAATAAAAGTAATATATATATATATATATATATATATATATTTTGCTAAAAGAATGTCGATATGACCCCAACACAAAAGTTCCTCTGATTATTTTGGTTGATCAATTGGTCTAACGGAGGGAATCCATGTTTTTTTTTTTTTTTACGCTTTATTTCTCTTCACCGCCTCTCCTTGCCGCCGCGTCGCCGTCTCGGGCCCACTTGTTCGATTTAATGTATTTTTTGTTTTTTTTGTTGTGTAATAAGGAAACAAAAGAAGGAAGGGAAAATTTTTGAAATGCCCCCAAACTTTGCGTTTATTCGCGGTGTGCCCCAGTGAAGGCCGGCTTACACTGTGGTGCCCCTCGGGCCTCTGAAAATTTTCCGCAGGCCCCTGTCAGCATGGGGCGTAACTTTCCTATATGCCCTTACTGGACTGCTGATGGTGTTTCGTAGGTCGGTCCTTGAAATGCCCTCACGAGGGGCACACATCTTTCTGTGATGCCCTTGCATTAGTGGTGGCAGGAATTTGAATTCAAAGTTGTAGGCATTCCACGCGCCGCCATGGGAAAACGGTTTGTATGGGTGTGTGTGTGTGAGTGTGTTGTGTGTGTGTGTGTGTGTTCTGCGCGCGTGTGTGTCTGCATGTGTGTGTGTATGTGTGGTGTGTGTGTGTGTGTGTGTGTGTGTGTGAGTGGGCACGTTTGTGTGTACTTGTGTTGTGTGTGTGTGTGTGTGTGTGTAAAACATGTTATTCGTTAAAACAATACATTCTTGTGTGTACTATTTTGAAACGAATTTATGACACAATGTATAGTCTAGTGGTATTCCAAATCCGGATACATCCGAACCTGGAGTAAAATCAGCTTTGAGACGAGGAGCACAGTCGGTACATATATCTGCTGACTGCGGTCCTCTCGTGGTTCGGATGTGTCCAGATGTGGAGCACCACAGCAGAGTATATTACAGTGTTATATGTCTCTCAGTCAGTGCATGTATCTGTTGCCTCAATACATATATCTGCTGCGCTCCTCTCCTGGTTCAGATGTGTCTAGATGTGGAACATCACAACAAAGTTAGATATTACACTGTGTTTTAACTTCACTTGGAGTTGAGCATCATACTCATCCGAATCAGAACAGTATAATGACACGAACTCGAGTTTGTGAGGAGTACAACGAGTTGTGGCTCTTCACAGACTTAGAAGTGTGAGGACCAGAATGAATTGGAGTTCTGCATCGAGGACCGTGCATATTTGAAGGGCGAGAGAGATAGAAAGAGAAAGAGAGACAGAAAGAGCGAGAGAGAGAGAGACAGAAAGAGCGAGAGACAGAGTCTCAGAGAGACTGTACTTAATTTTCTCGAGACGCTGCACAAGAGGCGCAGGGTCGAGCACACGCGTAGACCACCAGCCTCGCTTTTTGAAGCATTTCAGATGATCGTTGTAGGAGAGCAGCAAGGTAATGTGAATTTCTAAGACAAGCGAAGTTCGGATGTATCCGAGATCACAGGAGATAGACAGAGAGAGGAAGTCCGCAAGAAATGGTCGTGTATATTTGAAGAGCGAGAGATATAGAAAGAGAGAGAGAGACAGAAAGAACGAGAGACAGAGAGTCTCGAACAGATTGTACTTAATTTTCTCGAGACGCCGCACAGGAGGCGCAGGGTTGAGCACACGCGTAGATCATCAACCTCGCTTTTAAAAGCATTTTAGATGATCGTTGTAGTAGAGCAGCTAGGCAATGTGAATTTCCAAGATAACCTAAGTTCGGATGTATCCACAGGAGATAGACAGAGAGATTAAGTCCGCAAGAAATGACAAAATAGCACGCTAGAGAGCTGAGAGATGGAAAAGACAAACACCGTATAATCATCCACAATATTTCGTGTTACGGACGTATACCAAGTGTCGAACTAGTATAGACCCTTCAGTTCGAAGCTTCCTCTGT